GGATTTGAAGTTCTCAATTTTCAAGGAAAAGAGAAACCCCTCCAGAGCGCTTGCTTTATGCCTGCATTTTTTGTTCGCAATTTTTTTTTCTTTATGCAGACGCTGTAATCCACTTCTTTAGCAAAACCTGAGAATGATATTCACTGAGCTTTTGCAGGAAAAATTTAAAAATTCTCGCTTTATGAACTCATCTCAGATGGATGGATGTGACTTAATCTTGTAAAATACATGAATTGGAATTTTGTAACTGAAAAAGATGTCCGGAAGAGGATAGTTACCAACTCTAGCTAGGATGCGTAATACTGGGAGTGGAAAGTAGAGAATTAGCAGATGCAAGCTAAGCCATATGTCGATGCATGATTCCTGCGGCAACAATATAGTATATGGAAAAGGGGTCAATCAAGTTGATCCTGGTGTGTATTTTTAAGCAATCCCATTTCATCAACTAAAAAAAAAATGCTGGAATCAACGATAGGATCGATCCGCCGCAAATTGCAAATGTGTGCCGTGACATAATAGAAGTTACTACTGTTTATAGATGTTGAACTGAGAAGGAATTTTTGTTGGGGGGGGGGGGAGGGTGGTAAAAGAACCTTCCTTTATTTTATTAATTCCAAGAGAACCATAACGCACTTTGAACGGGAGGAAATAAAATTCATCTCCTAAAAAATAATTCACTTTATTAAATTAGAACGATACAGTTAAATGAGCGGAGGGGTCTAGTACTAGTAGGTTAGATCGACGCCCGGCAATAATTAATATGCAAACACAAACACAACATGTTAGACATGCATATGTGCTTTACTTCCAAAGAGCTTTTGCCCTCATCGAAAAGATGTTGGAAAAAGTAATGTGGAATCTGAAGAAGTAGAGGAATCATCATATATAAGGATGACGGATTCAGACAACGATCGTCCGCTTAGAGAACACTGATCTTTGAGATGATGATCAGTAGGGTCGATCCGGGGATCTAGACAACCATGAAAGAAATTAAAACAGAAAAACATATAGTTGAACAGGTATTAATTAATCAAAAAAGAAACTAATCATCATAATTAAACGCCAGTATTAGCTCTAGGCCTCTCATTGTTAGCAAAGGACATTGGAAACGAACTGAAAGGTCAAGGGTCACCAAAAAAAAGAAAAGAAACCCGTGATGATAAATTAAGTGTAATTATAACATTTAATAATAATATTAATGATGCACTGGCGAATGCTAACAATCAATTAACAAAGAGAATTAACAATGGTTTCCCTAGTGTTGTAATTAATTAAGTCGTCGTCCTGATACTAGGTTTATTTTATTCTGCATCACTTTTAATGTTGTCTATCATCAACTGAAGCCCCCCTTTCGACGTGGGATGGAGTTTTCAATTTTCATTCGGCTGGGATGACGTTAGAATTATTCAACAACATATTGGTGTAATTCTAGCCAGTGTTCCAGTTCATCATGTAGTTTCACGGTTTCAAATGGCCACGTCCCTTGGAGAAACTGATCCAGCGCGTGCCTCTTCGATACACCGTACACGTGATTTTTTAGCTCGTTTTATGCTCTCATCCATCGGGCAGAAATATTATGGATCTAGTCTTTGAAATTGTTTCTTAGCTAATTTCTCATGATCATTTCATGAATTTGCACCTACTATAATGTCGATATGTTTTTCCTTCTTGCAGGATTAATTTGGAGACAATTCGCATTCATCAATCCAGTGATGTCGGAGCAATGAATGAATTCGGACAACAAAGGTGTAATATATCTAAATTTTTTTAATTCGTGTAATTATATTGTGTGTTAAGTATTTTTTTTTTCTAAATCGACGGAATTTTCTAATTCGATTGTAACGCATGAATTTTTTTTTTTTTTGGTTGGGGGGTTGATTTTATTGAATTTCCTTTCAGGATATCAGGCTTGATCGTAGCAAATGCAAGATCAGTATACTATATCATTCAGATTGATACACCGATAGTAGTGTCGTGACTTGCGTACATATGGATATGATGATGATATTCATATATAAGAGGAGAAAATGCTACCAAAACTCCGAAGATCGCCACAAATCCAAGTCATGCATGTAAGTTTATTTAGATCAAATGTTTCTTCCTTTTTCATTCATCATATATTCTCTCCGTCCTCTTTTAATAATACGCCACTTTATTTAGCTAAATCAGACAAATTGGATTATAAATACAAATTATATTATGGATAGTTTGCGAAATATACGAAAAGATTCATTCATACTACAAATCTACAATTATCGATTTTGCTAATTATTCTTTCACTTTTTCATCACTCCAGTATCTAATATTTGCTTGGGACAAAATTAAGTTAATCCCAAATGTTTTTTTTTTACCCTTCCAAAACCGTCCAAATGGTGAAAGTTACTTTTTTGGACTTTGAATTTTGACTGTACTGTGCTAAAAAAACCTTTCCGTTGACACCATTTATGGTCCTCTTTTTTCATCATCTATACTATATATCAATTTTATTACATCTTATTAAAATATCTGCTTTTGCTTTCTCTGCATGACGTCATCATATATATTGTTTTGTTGATAGTATTGGAATTTAAGTTTGGTCTCGGATGACGTGGATAATGATAAAAAAGTTTTAGCCAAATAAATTAGGTTATCTCCATTTTAATGCCTCAAATAAACATTCCTCCAAACGGCAAAACACTAGTATAAAGTAAACACTATCCATTGCAAACTAATAAACACGTGGGAACATAGTAAGTATCGTACGGTACGCGATATGTATCGCATGATACGTATCAAAATCAAAGATTTCGGTACGTATCAAAATCAAAGATTTCGGTACGTATCATGATATGTATCGCAATTATTTTTTATCGATCAATTACCAATATGTATTGTACTATACATACGATACATGATACGATTGTGTATCGTACGATACAAAAATATAGGGCAAAAGTAATTTTTTTTTTAAAAAAAAGAATTCAAATTATTGTTTCATAATGACTATTTAAATTTCAATTTAAAAGTGAATTTTATTTAAAATTTGTTTTAATTAGAAGATTTTGATTTATTTCGTTTACAAACATAATCGTCCTCAATTGACAATAAAATCGCTTAGTAAATTATTCTAGTTCAAAAAATAAAATAATTAAAGACATTATTTCATTCATAATATCATTTTCTAAATCAAGTATAACTTATAACATGTTGAATAAATGCAATACATGTTTATATTAAATTTTCTCAATATTAAACTTATGGATATAATAACAACTATTGTGAAAAATAATATTTTACATAAGTTTTACGACCAATATTCATGTAATGAATGAGTAATTGGTGTAACTTTCAAATAATCTTAATTTCAAATTAATCAATTTATTTGTTTATAACTGAAAAATAAAAAGATATATATATATATCAATTACTCCCTCCGTCCCATAATCATTGTTCAATTTTACTAAAATGAAAGATTTTATTTTTGGTCAAACTTAACTACATTTTACCTTAAACAACCGGATGTACCCCTACATAAGTAATTGTTTAACCACTAAGATTTTATGGATAATGTTTTTTATTAAGGACAAATGTGTAACTTGATCCATAAAAAGTCAAATTGGACAATAATTTTGGGACAAAATTTTTTGAGCAAAGTGGACAATAATTATGGGACGGAGGGAGTACATATAGAGTTTATGATATTTATATTTATTTTATACGTATTATTATATTAAAATATATATTACGATACACGATACGATACCCGCATCATAAATTTAGGTTTTCGATACACGATACGTATCACGATTTGATAATTATGCGTGGGAATAATTATGGGAACTTCTTCTGACAAATCAAGCCAAACAAATAAATTACCAGGTAAACCTTCTAAGAAATGTGGTTGTTAGAGAGTAGTTTAATTATCGTATTATTTAATTTTTTTATTAGGAAAATAATATAAAACACTATAAGATAAGATAATTAGTTAATTGCAGTTTAAAATTGAACTTGTTCATATTCCGTCATCCAAAGTAATAAGTGATTCTTTTTTCTTTTCATAAATGAAACTGATAAGCATCGGACCAGATCCATCGTGAGCAATACCAACTTCAAACTCTTTGGCGCTTTTCCAATCTCGGATCGGATATGATCCGGGAAACAAAATTTGTATATATACTATATAGTATCTCATTTTCATTAAAAAAAAAATTAAATAACGCTATTTGTATCCCTTCTTTCTTTTTAAAAAAAAAAAATTAAAAAGACAAACAACTCAAGACTTTCCATTCGTGATATGCTCCAAACATATTAGTCAGACGCATTAAGGATTCATTTAATGAATTACTACTCTCTCTTTTTTTCTTTTTTTTTTTTGAGAAAAACGAATTAATTTTTAAATTCATATTCTAGTTACGTGATTACTCAGTCTTTCAAACATTTAAATATATAAGAATACCATGTTGTGAAATTAAAAAAAAAAATTATTGTAAGGAAAGTCGATATGTCCAAAGGCGGACGAGAATAACATTCCTTTATTATTACTCTTCTTTGTTTTTTTTTTTTTTTTTGGCTGTATCCCTTTTGAAACTCCAAGTACATTCTTTAGAGCTCATGCATGCACAAGCAGGATCTCAAGCCAAACATTGTAGAATTTGGAGTAACAAAGTTGAAAGTTAATCAGCTTTGACTTGGGATACAAGAGTCCAAAACAATTTATTTGTTCACACGTTCAAATGAGCAGCCACATTTGTTCGATTCAAATAAATGTAGCACAATGTATACTTTGTATTTTAAATAGTTGTATTGACCATATTTATTGAATACCACTACTATTCTTATTTTGGTATACCACCTAATTAATTATTATTATTATTATTTTTTAATTAAAAAAAGCACACTCAGAAAAGGATGGTTGGTTGATTCGTCAAGTCTACCATGGATTTGCCCTTTTCGTCCTCAGATATTGAACACCAAAATGAGAGTCAAAAATTTTGATTCTTTTGCTTTGATGAAACCACAAACTCTAGAACCTTTGGTTGGCCCCCTTTTTAGTTACATCAACGAAAGAATATTTTAATTGCTTCTACTACAATATCATCGCCCCCTTAGGGGAGGAAAAATTAAAAATCGAAGAGATCAATAATTAACTTAGTGGGGGGGGATTAGGGAGACTATATACTAATAACTAACTAATCCCTTAGCTAGCAAACTAAGACTAATTTAATTAGTACTAGTATAAGTTAAACAAAAATTAACATAATAATAATAATAAAGAACTTTCCTTGTTTTGTGCACAGTGAGTATCTTCCTCAATTTCCTGCGCATTAGCGGCCCCAGTTGTGGTTAGCTCTTCCGCTCTCTGGGCTTCAAACTCCCAATTCGTCCGAAACAGAACAATCAGCATGGCGATCATACAAGAGGCCTGGGCTGCCAAAAGCCCAATCCAAAGCCCTTCGAAATCAAAACCAGCGTAGAACCCCAGCCACACCGCCACCGGGGTTCCGACCAGATAGAAGCACCCCAAGTTGATGCGCGCCCCCACCTTGGGCCGCGCCGTCCCCCGTAAAACGCCGCAGCCGGTGGTCTGCGGGCAGTTGCCGAGCTCGCAAAGCCCAATAATGGGCAGAACGAGGGAAGTCAATGCCAGGATTTGTGGGTCATGGGTGAACAATTTAGCCCAACTCTGCCTCACGCTGACCGCAAACAGCAATGCCGTAAATCCCAAACCAAAGCTGCACAAAAGTCCAACAATGGCCGCAAGCTTAGCCTTAGCTGGCTGTTTAGCACCCAATTCGTTCCCTACTCTTGTCGATACGCTGAAGCTTAGGGAAGAAGGGAATATATAAATCAAAGAAGTCGTCTGAATCAAAATCCCCATGGAAGCCACCGTGGCTTTGGGATTTAACAATAGCCCACAAAGCAAAATCATGATTTCATACCACCACCATTCTAAGCACACGGAAACACAGCTTGGAATGGAGAGATTCAGCAATGATTTCCAGCCTTTGAGGCATTCTTTATTTAGTCCTCCCCAGGTTTTCTGGTAAACCTTGGAAACTAATATGTAGATTATTAATGAAGCTACGAGGTTAAAATTAGTCCAGACCCCACTAAGCGCGATGCCTTTGATTCCTAAACCGAGTTTCGTAACCAGAAGATAATTTATTGGGATGTGTAAAACGATGGAAATTGCTGCACAGAATGTGAGAGGTAAAGTAATGGATTGTGTTCTGAGGTAAATCCGCAATGGGTGAAGCACAGATTGCGCAAAGAGGTCGGGAAGAGAGTAGAAGAGATAGGATTGAGCTTGTTCCGCAATGGCTTCATTTTGTCCGAAGAAAAGTAGGATCGTTTTCATGTTAACCCACAAAATGGATATTGGAATGGAAGTCAGCATGAGTAAGAGTACGGTTCTTTGTAAGGAAAGACCGAGGAGAGTGTAGCGTTTGGCTCCAAAAGCTTGGCCGCAGATGGGCTCCATCCCCATGGCCAAGCCGGATAAGATGGAGTAACCGGAGATGTTAGCGAAACCGAGGGCGAGCGAGCCGCCGGCTAAGGCTAAGTCGCCTAACCGGCCGAGGAAGAGCATGGAGATCATGGAACGGGAGTAAAGTAGAAGGCCGGTGAGTATCATGGGAAAAGCTACATTAGCTATGGACAAGGCTTCTTCCCAGATTAGTGAGAGATGGTTTGTTTTTTTGTGGGTTGTGAAATTTTGGGTTGTTGGAGATTTGGGGATCAGAGGAGTAGTCAGCATGTCGGATGACTCTGTTGGGAGCACTTTGATTGGAAGAACATAATGTTGGTCTGAATCATCCGCGAGATTGCAGAGCAATGGAGGTTGTGTCAGCTTGCACATTTTTTTTTTTTTAAAGAAAAAATTATTCCCAAACAAAGAAATAAAATAAAGTATGTGCAAATGAATGAACTGAAAGCGCACGTAGTTATATAATATAAGCTCCTGAATATAGGATTTAATTTTTTGTGGGTTTTTGGGGAGCGATCAGAGTGGGGAAGAGAGGATAAAGAGGGAGGAGAAAATCAGTAATGGATATATGAAGATATTTGAGAGATGTTTGTGGATGTTTTGTTGTGGAGGGCGAGAAGAGTGGGAAGTAGTAGTGGATTTATAATGAAATTCTGGGAGGGAGTAGGGAGTGGTGGGGGCCTATTACCGAACCTTATAAGGGAAAAAATAAACTCCAACAGCTAACTGAATGATAATTTAAATACAAAGCATTTATCTAGTTTTAATGACGATTAGTATTATTGTGATATGTATAAACGTTTGAATTATTTAAAAAAAAAACAAGTTTGTATTCGAAAACGTTCTTACGGCCTCTACAAAATGGATTTTTTTTTAATTTTTATAAAAAAAAAAAACACTTTTGACATTTAGTTGGTTTGAATGAAAGCTATTGTTTTTATTGTGGCCGGCTACCTTTACTGTTTAATGTATGTATTTGCATAAAAATACATACTAATGTTTTATCGCTTTATTGTATGTGCAGCTGCGGGTATGTAGTAAGACCAAGTATAATAAAGGGGTGTTTGCAGGCCGGGGAACAGCCAATTCTTTAATTCTTCTTCATTTTGGAAGTAAGATTTGATAATTTGAACTAGTAGTGTTTTTCTTGCTCCTTATATTCATACCTCATCAAGTAATCCTTTTCCTTAATTCCAAGACATTCTTTAATTCTCTTGTTACTCAAAGGTGCAAATCACCGGCGAGTTGGGTAAACACATAAATAACTTCTTATCACGATATAATAAAGGGATGACCACTCATTTTCTATAAAAAAAAATAAAAATCAACACCTATTGCAAGTGAAATTCATCGATGATGCTATGTTCTAGTTACGATTTAACTCTTAATAGTGCATTAAATAATTTCTCACAAAATCTTCAATCCTATCCCAGCCAAAGAAGCCAAACCTCCAACGACATAATTAGTTTCATGATATGCGGTCAACATTTTAATGACAGTTTGAATTACAAGATAACTACTTATCAATTTATTTAGATTACGAGTTGACCAGCAATTACGAATTTATTTCTTCTTTTATTTTACAGAAACCAATATGTGAAAGGTTGTTTTGGCCAAAATTAATTAACAATAAGAAGCCTCTTCTATGGGGGAAAAAAAGAAAAAAAAAAAAAACATATGGCTTACTTAGCCACGTCGGGACTAGAAGGGTTAAGAATATGGAATTAAGCAAATTACCGGAACACAGTGAAGTGCGAATTTCCAACTCACTGTTAAAGAAAGAAAAATTACTCTTTCAATATGAAACGGGGGAAAAAATTGTAAAGGTTTAAAACAAAAAAAAAAAAACTTGTAAAAACTTGTATGGGAGGATGTATTTGCATTTGGAACCACAATAACAACCGAGAGGAATCGTCAGAACGGGCATCGCCTAAACACAGTCAAACTTATAAGTTTCAACTTTTTCCCGGTTGGGCGTTTAGGCAAAATGAAGGGAGTTTCATCCAATATCAAAGATAGAAAGAAAAAAGAAAATAGAGATCAAACTCGGATTTGGATATGCAACGGTGATAAAAACAAAAAAAAAAAAAAAAAAAAATTTGTCGGAGAGTTTTACGTTTCGAAAAGAACCTACTCGGCTCAAATCGTGATTAATCAAAACAATTACTTCAGACACTTGAGTGCCAAATATTAAAGGGGGAAAAAAACTTACTCTGGGGCAAAATAATATACCTCATGTCATAATTATATGGCATAAATTAGCAAAATACTTCATTTGTTCTAAATAGAAAATAGTCTATTTTGTTAAATTGAAATAGTATAATAAAATGGATTATATTTCTGAGAAGGGGAGGAATAACTAGTAAAATGGATAACCTTGATTTCTTCCGTAGAGATTGACTTTATTCCGAAAATAAGGTACTAACTCCTAACCAGTAATGATGGTGAAGTACAACTGATATTCCATGACGGGCATGCAAATGAGAGAAATCAATAAACTCACAAAAATTGGGCCTGCGACCATTTTTATTTGTTTTGGCACGGCTACACATTGTTAATTTCCGCATCCTGATCAATTCACAGTATTCCCTCACAACCTTCTGTGTCCTTTTTGTATGTGTGTGTGTGTGTGTTGGGGATTGTCTATATGTTCTTTGGTCATTTGATTTACTGTTTATTTAATTTTTCTACCTTCTGCCGACTTGTTAATTTACCTTGTCTTTTTCATTTTAGTTTCCACAACGTGTAATTTAGGCTCATCTTTTTGTTCTTCTTTCCTTTTTTGGGTCGAACTACTCTATCTGCTAAAATCCAGCATAGATTTTACTTTTAAAGAGACCAGGTGGAACGCATCTACATTCAAATTAGTTGTGATAAAACTTTCGGAAACAAAGTGCGCTTACTATATTAAAAAAAGGTTTGACTATTGTTTCTGTTGGATCATCAAATAAAATTCAAATTATTATTCTAGTTGAATGACAGAGATTTCAATAATTAAGAACCAAGATGGATATTGACTCAGAGTTGATGGAGTGCTACTTGTTTTGATTTATCCTCCACCGTAAACGGAAACATCATGAACTACACGTTATTTTTTTGCAGTTCTTTTTTTTTTTTTTCTTTTTGTTTTTGAGGGAAACATTCAAACATAAGGAGGAGTTGGCTTTGAACTGAATTCATATATGCTAGTAGTTACTTTGATAGTGCTATTTAGGTAGCAAGAAGAAGAAGACTGCGAGTAATTAATTTTTTATTATTATTTTTTTTAATGAAGTGGTGGTTAGTCAGCGATGGTACAGCAGCACCCCCCAAAGTGGAGTGATACTCAGGTGGACCGTGGACGGCAGCAGTCAGGGGACTCAACCATATATAGTGAGTGGATTGGCTTTTTCTATTTTTGTCAAGGGCCCTGGTCCTATTCCTGGGCCTACATCCTTGGGCCACTGTTGCGCTACAACTTCCACTGTTGAGGTGGAATAAAAGAGACTCTCGGGTTTGTAAGAGAGGTTTTACACACATTTAAGTGAGATTTATTAGAGTGTATTTTTCAAAAAAAAATAAAAAAATTCCCCCACCTCTGACGAGGAGTAGCGAAACGAATTAATCACTGTTAATGACGGTAGATTGACCTTTTAAATATAGAAAAAAAAATTCTTTACACTGTAATTCTAGGATTTCAATACTTGTAGCCTCCTTTTTTCCTCGTGGAGAAGTGTGTGTTATATATTTGTTTGTTGAATTGCCTTCAATGAAAAAATATTTAAAGCTCACCCATTGGCCTTCATTAATTTGACCACTTATTAATTTTGGTTAAGAAATGTCAACCCAATAAATAAAATCTAGAAGACCGAAGGTAGAAGCTTGGTCGTACAAAAAACAAAGCAAACAACAGAAAAAAAGTGAATTATAATAATTTGGTGTTTGCATGGGTAAGATCTCGCCGGGTTTAAGTGATTGACTGAGAGAGTAGTAGTCCGGTTTTCCATTATTATGTTGAAATCACGCATGATTTTATTATTGAGCTAGGAAGGAGTAGAGATTCATGATTACTCTCATGTACTTTAATCCTAGGAACAAGCTACAACACAAATCAAAGAATTCATCTCAATCACGACCTTGACCTTCCCACTAAACCCTAATGTAGCGCTAGCGCATTTCCAATTGCTAATCAGCCAAAAAAAAAAATGTCTACTTCCCACCAGAAACATCAAACGATGACTTAGATTCGGTCAGCAAAATGACGCGTCTAAGCCATATATATTTTTGTATCTTTTTCATTAGGGAAAATTGTAAGATCAAGAAAACTCAAAATAATAATAATAATAATAATAATAATAATAATAATAACATCATCATGTAATAATCTTTTAAAATCGTGGCTGTCATAATTTTGGTCCATCATCACGGTTGTCACAATTGCTTCACCATCTTTTCTCCACAAACAAGTACTATGAAATGTGAGAATTCAAAATCGAGAAATGAGCATCCAACAGTAATATCAGGGGAGTTTTATTTCCTGAACGAAAAACAAATTTACTCCTTACATTTAAATTAGTCAGGACATAAAAAAAATTCAACAAAGATAGAGAAGGAGAAAAGCAAAAGAGTGAGAAAAGATCCTTCTTCTTTTCGCATTTAAAGTGAGTTTTCCCACAACTAGAAAACAAAATAACCGACGCCGAAAAGAAAACGATTGTTTCTATCTACCTACCTGCGTACGTATCCTTGCTTTTACATGTAGTGTTTCTGAGGGAGGAAAAATTGCGTTTTTGGGACGTCAAAATATAGTTAATCAAAAAATGATTTTTTAATCGTTTCTTATTCACGAATTGTTGTAAATTTAATCGAACTACTCATCTTTGATCTCCTCTTTCGTAATTCACCCGTAAAAAAGTGTTCAGAGAAATAGAAGATAGCGATGAATCGAAAAAAACTAAAGCAACTTTGATGAGGGTCATCCAAAACATCATCTGATCACATCTATCGTTTATCCTTCATCGATCACTTTGTTCCGACAATTAGTCAAAAAATTTATATGTATATATTTAGTCACATTTACAAATCTGTGGACGAATAAAAGTGGGACAAGGGTTACATGTTTGGATTGCGTGGGTCAATCTGAAGTGTGAACAAAGCAACCCAGTAAAACTATCGACTGAAACAAGACAGAACGGTATCCAGCTGCTTATGGGGGAGAAAATTATTGATAAAATTGAAGCTTCCTAGATATATGACCTAGTCCAACTATATATAGAGGGAAAAGATAAAAACACACACACACACACACATGCGGCACACATGCATTATGCAAACATGAACGAATTCTGACTGTCATCTAAGGTGGTTGTAATTGTGACTGTTTCACCAGTCAAATTTTTAACTGTTCATAAAATTGAAGGTTTATTTTGCCAGCAGACTTTGTGATTTATTGTCAATTTGTAAACGGTATATATGTGGCAGTTCGCAAAGTCTCAAACCCAGAAGTCTGACTAAACGTTTTTTGTCTTTCGGGGAATCTATTTAGATTTTACACTACGTCTGCACAATTCTTTTCTTTTTCCCACTATAATCAATATTTATTTTACTACTTTTTTTATTGGGTAAAAAGGAAGAATCTTTTAGGACCCAAAGACAAATCCCCCCCCCCCCCAAATAAATTATTAATTACGTACTGACTTTATAGTGTTTCACATTGAAGATAATGTGTATCTTGATTCCAACATAATCAAAGCATCTCATTTTGGTCCTAATACTTTGCCAATGTGAATGACTTTATAGTTGAAAAGTTAATTGATACGGTTCCAGAAAGTTGGAAGATAACTCAACTATACAGTAATGGAAACACGTACGGACGACTTAAACAACTGATCAGTTTTTAAGAATGCGACACACGTTCGATTTATCATTATTCTTCGAAGTTGTAGGAATATTTCTACTGTGACTTGGTCATTTTGATTTTGCTAATGTCTTCGATATATCCAAATGCCCCGCGAGAGATACGTTTCAATTTAATTCGTGTGGTTCAATTCGCCGTCCGTGATCGATAGAGCTCAATTTGCAACACTAGAGATATAAGCCATAATATATGACTGATCAAATACTAAAGTCGCCGTTCTAGCTAGAAGGTTTGTTGCCGTATGGATCAAGGGATTGATGACTTGGACTTGGAATATTTGGGCACTTGTGGACCGACTTCGAGTCACTGTATGAGCAGGCAATCATGAATCTAATTACTAGGTCGGCAGTGACTTTAGCTATGAAATACTTTTCTCCGTCTCATTTTAATAATTCATCTATTTTGGTGTATTTTTCTTCTCGTCTAATAAGTTAGACCATTATCAAAATGGAACTGACGGAATTCTTTAATTAGAGTCATTTAGGCTATATATTGACCTATTTATGGGTTGAAACCCCTCGTAGAAATCAAGGGCTCCGCCAGATTAAGTTATAAAATTGGGACCATAAGGCTAATTCAATCAAATGTCATCGCTAAAGTTTTAACGACAGGATCTAAGATCTCAAGATTGTTAACCAAAAACGCAACAAAATCTCTTCTTCTTGGCTCCATTGTCATCAACACTTTCTCCAATCAAACGTGTCAGCAGGGACTCACGAGACGTTGCTACAAATTATGGAAAAGAGACCAGTCTGGAACACATTCCCATTGATTGGGAATGACATGAGAATGCATGGATTTGCTGATTCCGTTTTTCAAATCCCCTCCTGATTTAGTCCATGCCAACGCAAAAGTAGAAAATGATCAGACCAACGAGTGCAAAGGAAAAAAAAAAAAGATGGAAAGTAAAAAATAAAATCTTGACTTTTGCCATACTTGAAGGCTAAATTATTGGTCAGTAATTGCTTCATCAAAGGGGCAAAAATCACGTCCCATGTTCAGCTGGACGCTGCAACCGGGAAATAATTCAGGATTTGGTCGTGTCTTTGTTGCTCCAGAATGGTGCAAATCATGTGAATGAGGAAGATCTCTTCCCAGAATAAACCAGTATATACCTCGACTAGCAAACTTTTTTCTTCCACCCAGCAAACCCCTTAATTTTGACATCTTCTAGGCCAATCTCAACTTTTCCGGTACAGTTATGCCACCGCAGACTAATGCAAGCATGCACGATAGGTTCCACTACGTAAGTATATACATAAAGGGTTCGATATGTTGCTTTGCTAAGAGAAATTCTTCGATGATTTCAATGGTTGGAATTAATGGATATTCGATTCCTTAGTTGATTCAGCCGGTATCGCCTCTTTTTAGAAACGAGAGAAGTCATATTTAGAACTAAAATACAACAAATACTCCCTTTTGTCCCAAAATGAATATCTAATTTAAATTTCAATTTTTAATTAATTTATATTAACAGTAAAATTCCAAACTAAATAATATTTTCGAGACAGAAGGAGAAGGAGTATGATATTTCTTGAAGCCCAAAACAGTGATAACTGATAACTGAAGTTTCCAATTAAAGGACGTCAATTAGGAGGCTAGAGTTTGTGCATGAGGTGCAGAATTTCGAAGTGCCCTGCAAATTTGATCAGGTATCTGGGCCAAGTACACACCGCAATGGCATCTATGATCCCAACCTGTGGCCAAGTGGACCAATTTACTGGCATGATTTCAAGTAAAAAATGGATGTTACCAGCATGAATTTGAAAATTCAGAACAAAGCCAGAATTTTAAAAAGTCAATATCAAGATCAAGAGCCACAATATTTCTCTGAGAGTCTAATATTCCTCTAGGCAAAGAACCAGGAGACAGGACCAAATTACATAATCGTTACTCCACCTAAACGACGTACATTACTTGATACTTTTTCTTTAATATCCATAGTTGAAGGAAACATCCATTCACCAAGATCCACGAGATTCACGACTGCCTCTCTCGTGGGGGAGCTGACCTGCTGCATCACCGAAATAAATGTTAACACCGGTAATTTTTTACTAGTCAGCCCAAAAATAAATCATGAATGATAAAGTAAACAGTAAGGCAAATCAAACCTCCTCAACCGTTCTGGCAAAGGGCTCTCTGCTCCATCATATCCTGGGCTATTTGTGACCTCAGGATTTGAGTCTGGGCTAGCACTATTTCCATTATCAGGACTCAGCCTCTCCCTTCTCTCTCTTCGAGGACTCGAACTTGACCTTCGCCGATAATGAGGAGGACTTGCTTGCTCCCGGGGGCTGGTCTTTCGGTTGTTCTCAGAACTGCGCCTCTCTCTTCGGGGGCTTGAGTCATATCCATGGCTTTTCAAAGACACTTTTTCCCTTCTGGGACTTGCATGACGCCCACTACCGTGGTCAGAATTTCTTTCCCTTCCATTGCGGACTGGGCTAGGTCCCTGGTCATAATCAGGACTGGCACGTTCTCTACGAGGACTTCGAGTATGGCCCTGCCCATGCCCATAGTCAGGGCTACCCCTCTCTCTCCCATGCAGAGCAGGGGACCGGGCTCTCTCATAGCCTCTTCTAGGAGACCTACCACGAGCCCTATCAGGGCTATGTCCACCTCTTTCATCATCATCTTTCATTGCATACTCCACGGTTATAACTCGATCCAGAAGTTTGCTGCAAGAGTAAATTTGCCATCAAACAGGTTGTTCTGTGAGACAATAATACAAATAGCAAAATGAAGCCAACAAAACTTGGCAGAGGGAATTCAGGGGTTGACCTCAGATTGGTTGCATCCAATGCTCTAGAGGCGTCTTCTTGCGTTTCATACTGAATAAAAGCAAAGTTCCGGCGGATCCTCACATTCAGTATCTTGCCATAGGGATCAAAGTGCTTCTCCAAATCCCTTGTTCTTGTATGATATGGATCAAAGTTGATCACAAACAATGTCTTTGATGGCCTTGAACTAGAAGAAGATTTTTTCAAGCTCTCACGACCACTGCCACGTCCTTGCTGCAGCACCCAAAAGGACAGAAACTCGCCCACTTGAATAAATAACACGTGAAAAAAATAATAAAGCAAAAAAGAGAATCCTACAAAATGCAATACCTTTGTCCACTCAACACGAAGTCTACGACCCTTTCTGCCAAATTCAATGCGATCCAATCCATGTATGGCATCCTCTGCATCTCTCTCATCAACCATGTATATGAAAGCAAATCCTTCAAACAAAGAAGGCAAACAAACCAAAAATTTTAGCAAATTGCATGTGTAGCTCAGTTTGAACAGAACATCCTCCGGCTATTCTTCTCATAATGTCCGCCCAACAAATAAGTAATTGCAAACAATCAACTAGGCAACTCATCTAAAGACCAACATTTGAATTCCAAAATCTAACCAGTAAAATCAGTTACAGACCTTGGAGATGAACTAATTGATGTCAAGGACAACCACCCAAAGATGGCTGCCTTATGGTATGAAAATATAAGAAAAGGGCCTTCTCCATTTTTTTCTGCTGCCTCAGCTTCGAGGGTGGATATTGAGAAATCTGACACTAAAGGATGGCAAAAGCCACTACGGATATGAGGCAATAATGACTGAGGATTACGTGGAATTTGGATGCCACACTGGATGACAGGATTCTTCTTGAAAACAAGGCGAGGGTGATTGTCACTGCCAGGAATTGAAACATAGAAGAATCTATCGGTCAACCAGGTCATTGTGGACATTGCACCATTGTCCTGCGCCAAAGAATTAGTTGATTATGGGGTTTTAAGACTAAAAACAAACTCTCGATTCTTGAAAATCCATCCTAGATGACCCATAAATATTCCAGAGAAATACCCATGATCTAAAAATGCCCTAAAGGACACAGAGAGCTCTGAGCACAACCCTCGCGCTCTAGTTGCAGCAGTTGTGACAAAACAAAGGGAAGGTCTAGTGCAGATTCCAAATTAATGAGAAACCTTTGGGTTCCATAGTTGCCTAAAGATTCAAGAACTTGCAAAAGAAAGCCACCTGTGTAGAAAAATTAAGTCGTATCCCTAATGCTAGGATAAGTTTACTCCACTATACCCATTGGCGACATTATTGCTTTAGTTTCAATCAGTACTAGCAATCATCAAATACATGGGCTATTACCCGAAAGAATTTGTGTCAATAGGACAGAGCACAAATTTAAAATTCATGACAGACATCAGCACCGGAAAGAAAAAAGATGACCCTCTTGTGCCAGGACGGAACGGTCAAGTGTCATCTACAAAAGTACAGAATGATAATGGTTCCTCCTTTCGTACCAGAAGAGTAATTCGAGTTAGCTCCTTCCAAGCAAATTATGTTAGCCGGTACACTGCACACCGAAGTTTGAACAGTAGCATAGGACAATGCTAAATTAATGGATGCTGAAGCCAATATTACCAGAATTATTCCTTCGTACTCAAAAATACTTGACTGTGCATTACCAATAAAGAGAATTCAGCCAAATCCAGTAGAAACTATTTCAATTCCGAGACAATTCAAGTTGTGATGAGGAACCGAGCACAGATACTCATTCATCAAGATATTTAACAAATAATAACTAACCACAAGTACAGATGGAGGGATAACTTAAACACGGGTGAAAAAGAAAAATAATCAGATTTCAGTGATTTCTCTTTAAAATTGAAGCTTAACTAGATAAGAAAACGTTCAAAAGAAGGCAAACATCACAGCTAAACATACCCGCCTTCATGTCAACCCTATCAACCTTCCCATACTTCCGAAACAGCCTCTCCAGGTCAGATTGGCGAGCATCGTACTCAAAGTTACCGCAAAAGATTGCCCTCATATCAATTCAAGCACCTACAAAATATAATAACAGCCGGAAATTAAAATGGAGCATCGGTGAGGAAAAAAGATCTAGAAGATAGATTACCAGCGACAAACAACCGGATCTAACAAAATTTAACGGCACCGAGAATCGTAATTCATACTAACATGAGAAAAAGGATTACTGAATGGTCAGAATCTTCTTACTTGGATTGCTCGAGAGAAACCCTAATTGCGACGCGCTTCACACTCCTGGGAAAATATCTTTTTCCTTCCAGATCCGAAAAAGAGCTAGGAGCCAGTCTATATATCTGTCGTAACTTTAATAAATCTAATGCGTCTCATGCGGCGTCGTTTGGACGAAATTGAGAAGTCTCGTTGACCGTTGACCGTTGTGCCGGACAGCAGTTGGGTTTTGAAGGTGTTGTTTGTAATTTACTGATTGATATAAGATCTATCTTTCAACTTTTTTGACCCCCCCGTCTTTTTTCATCAACAATACGCCATATTAAATAAGAAAGCATGTTTTCAGCAAACAACCCCATTTCAATTTTTGGCTCAATAACGGGTAAAAAGCAAAAACTTCAAGATCCATGAAATTGTGATTTCATTTTTGTCTTCCATTCAACATGTAAAATAACATATATAAATTTAAAAATTTTGGAAGCCCATATCGGTTTCCTTCCTTCTTTTTTTTTTTTCCAAATTATGTTTGGAGTTTTTTTTATTCTGACTTCAGTTTCTTACAAGTTTACAACAGCACAATGGTGCTGTGATCCTCTGAATCAATCAGATGTCCATCTTCATGACCCTGCACCTGCAGTAATAATCTTCTCATACAGTAGCCAGAGCAAAATGGTGATTACAGTGTCTCTTATCAAGCTTTTCGAAGCATCAACAACCCAACCAGACCCATCCCCTGAATTTCTCTTTCCTGCAAGGTCTCGGAACCGCAAGTTTCCTGTATCTGACATCAATGAATATATGACTCCGTTCATGTGACCCTTTCCAATCACTCCCACCACTTTCTTGCTTCCGTTTACAGCTTTGCTCCTCTTCAGAGACCAGGCCAGGTACTGAAACCACATTTTGTTTACGAGAAAAGTCAATCATGTCTTCATCAGGAAGAGTGATCAGCAAAAGAATGAAAAATCAGCATTCAGTTGTCTTATTTCATTTTAGATGACATTCTGACATCTGCCCTCGTGTTTGGAATTTAGATGTGTTATTAATGATCATGTCTCAAGGAAGAGTCCCAAGGTTTAGTACTTGACTACTTCTATTATGCCAGTTTCATTTCATTTGATATTGCAATCAAGCAGAGAAATGATTTAATCTTGTTTCCACAATTAACAAACTTACAGTGTCTCGTTCGTGTATCAGAGGCAGCAGCAGAGATGGATATGAAAAGCTCAATTGTTCATATAGCTGGAAGTTGCTATCCGGAGCATCTGGTTCCTGGTGTATTTTAAATAAATAGGGAACTAGAAAAAGTTATCAACTATAAATTGCAAACTAGAGGTGGAAGTCACTAAAACACGATGAAAACCTTCATTGCTGCTTCCTTGGATAGGTTGGATGATTGTGTTATTCCACCAATAACAGAGCTCAACAGACTCACCTTCTCCTTCCATTTCAGAGAATTCCAAGCCCGATCAAGCTGAAACCCGTCCAAGAAGTCCAAGGATTGATACTAAGGAAGATAGCAACATAAATATCCAAGACAGAAGAAACATCCCAGAAGAGATTACACGTAGCACTTACAGTAATTTCAATCGGCCGATCGCCCAATACCACCTGTGCACCAATTTCTTCTGCAGCCTTCCGCGCTGCTCGAAACTGCAAATCTAAGCAACTTGATAAGGAAGTTATAAAAGGACTACTGCGAATGTTTAAACCGAAAAAATTTGAGTTTTCTCGAAAGTTACTTACTTCATCTCCAAAAGGACGATTGACTTCGGAAGATAATCTTGAAGAGAATGCTGCCAACAATATACGCAATGCTAAAGCAGTCTGACCACCTGTCAAAGGAAAATATATTCAGATCCATAATGAACATGTGGTGGAGGAAAATATTCAGTCAGAGCTAAAAGTTTACCCAAGTCTATGCTGCGGCCAACAGCACCAAAGAATCCAGTCCCACTCAAAGAAAACATGCTTGATCTCAACTGCTGGTTGGCCTCACCATCCGGGGAAGTATACATTATCCCAGCTCTGAAAAAGGAATCTGCAATATGAGAAGTTAAGTGATGGAGTATAACAAAATAGGATCCCAAGCTACATAAGCATTCTTCTCCCTTCAACCCTCCCTCCTCCCCTCTTGTTGGCATACTTATTATCTACCCAGAGAATCTCTATAGACAACTCAAGCACAAATTATGAACTTGTATCATTCATTCCAAGTGGTATAAGCATTGACTCAATTCCATCTGATGATATAAAAAATTGAAAAACTATATAGCTCACCAACTTTGATACTCAAAATCTCTATCTTGGTTTTCAGAATATGTCTTGGAGGTTGATCCCCTGACCCTTTGGCCTGAATCAAATCTAATTTTACCTACATCACCTAAGAAGCCTCTTCTGATTCTATCTAATAAAACTCGTAGACTAGCCAAACGCAAAAAACATAGTCTTGTGGCTATCCATCGCACGAAACACTAAATCTTTTTGAATGAGAGGAGGATTTAAATTTTAATATTAATCGCCAAAGCTGAAGCTAATCAACAAGCAAATTAACTCCCATAAATAAGTAGCGGTACAATGGAAATTAAAAGAGTGAAAATAAATAAATAAATAATGGAAGACTTACCTGCTTCTACAAAGTTCCACAACAACGTTGTCAGGATTCACGGCACGGATAACCCTCTCAACATCAGCAGCTGATTCAAGAGAAATATGGGTAGTTCCAAGGATCCAGATAGCCTCAGGCTCCACAAACTCTGTTCGCCATGGAGGCACCGGCCCAAATTGGCTCTTCTTGATGAGAACCAAACTCCCATTGTCGGCCAAGTCGAGTAATTGAGGATGGCTTTCAGCAATTGCTGCCCGGGAACCACTCAGAATTTCACCCCTGAAATCGAAGTCAGCCGGAGGAGGTTCGACGGAAACTTGAACCCTGGAACCGGCGGTTTTGAGTCCCGAGGAATTGCAATAGAGAAGTTTGGAGGTGGATGGAAACACCGGAAACGAATGCGTAACGAACTTCGTCAGCATCGTAGAGGTTACGGCTGGTTTGGGAACTGTGGGGGATAGGACTGATGAGTGATGGCAGAAAATCAAAATTGACACAAAACACACCATACTTGACCTCTGACATTTGTGGTTCTCGTTTCTCAGGCTATGTTTGGAATTTTAAGTGTGTGTGTGTGTGTTTGTGCAAATATCAAAAGAGTAAAACTAATCTCAATCTTTGGGCTTATGAGTTATGACCAATCGTCAAAATGTAATACTCACTCCATTCCAAAATAAATATCGTTTTAGCAAAATAGAAAATTTCAAAATAAGTGTCGTTCTTACATTTCAATATATTTTTTGTCAAAAGTTTTCAAAATTACCCTTAAAAGAGTTGATGCTATTGGTGGACAATTTTATAATGGGGTTGGTTGAGGATATTCAAATAATTTTATTATTCTATTTAAGAATTTCTTAAACTATGTGCAAAGTGTAGGATGAAATTTATTTTGGAATGGAGGGAGTACAACAGTACGTTTCTTCTCTTACATAACATAAATTTCGTGCTGTTCCAAACTAACCCTTCTTTAAGGTCCATCTACTTACCCATTTCGTCCAAACCAATGCTAAATTTTTTTTTATCATCAAACTACAACCATGTTACGAATGGATATTACAGTTTTTAAATGATAATACTAATACTATATGCAAAGTATCACATTTAAATAATTTTTTGATGATGTTGAAGACTAGTAATAGATACAAACGCACGTAACAAAATAGAAAGAGGGTCCAAAATTGGAGTTTTTTAGAAAAATAACTTTTCAGTTGGACCCGGACAAATATACGTGTCTAAGAGTGGCGTGAACAAATCTAGTTGTCTCGAATTTGTCAAATCTAAATGTACCCATTTTGATATTCGGATTTATCAAATCTGAATCTAGTATAAAATAGGTAGATTCGGATTTGACAAATCAGAGACAACTAGTTTTGTGCACCTAAAATAATAAAAAAAATATTTTTGTACATAACTATTTTTGGAAAAAAAATTTTGGCCCAAGCACCCCTCAAAATTGTTACGTCATCATGACCCATCAATTCATCCGGTAGCGTGATAATAGCAAAAATATTTTAAAATAAAAAATTACGGACATACAAGACAACAATATAGCATTCCTACAGTTATTAAAAAAAAAAAAAAAAAAAGAGTGAAGCCCAATCAATTACCGCGATTTCCCCACGCATTTCACACAATGAATCGTGATCAAATATCTTCTTCTTCCTTAAACAGGCACCATCAAATCCATCATTTATATGGGGCTTTAGTAGTAGCTGCCATCATGTGATATATGGCTCTCATTTCAGCTTAAAACTGAGACGATGACTTATGAAGAGGACCTGCCAGTTGGCAATTGTACCCTGCTACCAAGTTCCAGACTTCCAGACCCAGGTAGCTAGGTGACAAGGTGGTAGCGATAGCCCAAACTAACCTGGGCTAAGCTACTGGTTTTTTCTTCTTCCTGTTCCTACAGACTCCAGTAGATGCTTGCCAGGTTCTATTTTCCTTTTCTTCTTCTTTTTTGTTTACTTTTCTTCCCCCTTTTTTTTGAAAGGTAGACTTTTATATATTTACTCCGATCTTTATTACTCCCTCCGCTCCATAATTATTGTCCAGTTTTACTAAAATGAAAGATTTTATTTTTGGTCAAACTTAACTATATTTTACCTTAAACAATCGGATATACCCCTACATAAGTAATTGTTTAACCACTAAGATTTTATGAATAATGTTTTTTACTAAGGACAAATGTGTAATTTGATCCATAAAAAGTCAAATTAGACAATAATTTTGGGACAAAATTTTTTGGGCAAAGTGGACAATAATTATGGGATGGAGGGAGTATAAGGTATTTTGATTTTATCCTAGATTTAATTTAAGATATTTTTTAATTAAAAAAAACCTTAAAAATATATTTTCACATTCGCTGTGTTCTCTTAATTTTTATGAAATATTTTTAAAGGTTTTTATTTCAATTAAAAATATATCATAAATGAAACTTATGACGAAATCAAAATGCCTTATAATAAGGATTGGGGGAGTATTAGATTAAGAAAGCTTGCCAAGTTTGCACTGTATGCATTTATCAATTTTTAACATTCGAGATAATAACTTTGAAAATGGAGTCTCCGATTATGAATTTTTATTTTTTAACTTTTCTTATAAATCCATTTAAATTTACACGTGAATACCTCAAAATTAATTGACAATAAAAGAAATAACAATGAAATGAGATGTACTATATGTTAGTCAATATGTTTTACAGGTTTCAATGCAGGACAAATGTATTTCACTTATTTAATTATTTTCATGTTCGAAAGGATTTTAATAGTTTTTATGCTCAAAATTTAAAACCATTCAGGCCTCGTATTTGTAAAAGTGAGTTATTTTTTTCTAAAAAAAATAAAATCATATATTCGGTTATTGATTTACTCCCTCGGTTCATTTTTAAAAACAAATAAAAATCAGATATTCATTTAGCTGGATGTCTAACTTGATCAACAAAAGTAATTGAATATAGCTAGTATTTTAAAATATCCCCATTAATCACATAGTTAATTTTTTAGGGTAATCCATAGTTAAAGAGTATTAGAGAGGGTAAATTTTTTATTCTAAAAAATTATTGGACGCCTTCATAAGGAAATTGAAAAATTCTTATAGATTGGAATTTCAAAAAAGAAAAAAGGTATAATAAAGTACAGGATATTGTCTTATAGTAGCAAAAACTTTGTTGGTTATGATGTGGATTTCTACCCTTTATCAAAAAAAGTAAAAGGAAATTTAAAAAGAAAATAAGAAGTTACTGTACTCTGCTAAAATATATTGATCGTTGATTAATTAATAGATAACGAAATTGTAACTACTGTATAAGTTTATATAAGTTTATAGTGTCGATTATTGAATTCTAGCTCTGTAATCACTTTCCAACTCCATTTTCTTAATTTTTCCTACTCGTAATGGTGTTATACTTGCGTACTACCCTTAAATCTTTGATAAATGTGTTATGTATTGTAACTTTAATAATATATTATCAATAATTCTATGTCATTCTCTGTTACAAGATTTTTGTTAAAAAAATGTAGTTCTATTTAATGTTTTTGTACTAAAATTAAAATTCAAATAAGAACGGAAAGAGTAAGTAACATAATATATGCTATGTACTTTCCCTTAATGGTGTTACATGATAATACAGCACACTTATGACAATACTTAATATTTGTGTAAGTTAAGTTGATTGAAGTTCCATTGATTTATTTTCAAAGGTTGAATAGTTATTAATAAACCACCCTGCTGATTATGGGAAGGCAACATGAACAAAGAAGATGTGGCACAGTGGCAGTGCGGCCACTAGTTAGTGACATGGCAGCTAGCCAGCTGGTAATGTCCAGCCCAAAACCATTACGCGACACGCGCCCAAGGTCCAACTCTCCACATCATCATGGCTCATTATTTCAGGCTAAAAGAGTAGGTTGGCCACACAAAAAAGTGCACACACACGCACACACACACACACACAAACTCCATTAACAGACAAGACATTCGTAGAATTAAAATGTCAGTTAAACCCGTAATGACAGAAACCCCCAACGACCGCGGTTTTCCCACGCATTTCTTTCTGTCAGATCTCTTCCTTAAATTGCCCTTAATAACCAGTTAGGATCCTAAGACAGACAACTCTTCCTAAGACTCTTAAGACTGTTCCCAATACCGTTGTCTCGTTGTTATTATTTTCGTTAGTTACTTCATATCCTAATAATGAGTAACAATCCTTGGGGTAAGCAAGAAAATGACCCCGACAACCCATCACCCTATAGTTTTTTTAACGTTTGGCAGGGTGAGGGTCAGCCTCAACCCCCAGCCGCCGCCTCTGCCTCCGCTCGCTCACCCAGTGGATCTAACTCCCGGAGGCACCCTTCCTACCGTGGAATCCGTTTCAGGAGTGGAAAGTGGGTCTCCGAAATTCGTGAACCCCGTGGGACTAGCCGCATTTGGCTAGGTACTTTTTCATCTCCTGAAATGGCGGCTGCTGCATACGACGTCGCCACATTAGCCCTGAGGGGGCCGGATGCGGTGCTCAATTTTCCTCACTTAGCTCCCACGTACCCGGTACCGGCATCTCTCTCCGCCCAGGACATTCAGGCGGCCGCCGCAGCTGCTGCTTCTGCTCTAGCACCGCAGCAGCAGCAGCCGGCCTGTCATCAACCACCCGATAGCACTCGCGAAATAACTGCAGGTTCCTCCTCGCAGTTTGTTGACGAGGAGGAGTTGTTTGACATGCCAAACTTGCTGAGGGACATGGCCGGGGGAATGCTTGTTAGCCCCCCGAGAATGAAGTCTGGCGATTCTGACGACTCACCAGGTAATTCCGACGGGGATAACCTCTGGAGCTATTAAAAAAAAAACCAAAAAAAAAAGAAAGAAAAGGCGACAAAAAAACTGAAGGTTATCCTGGTCACCGATCGATAAAAATAAAATCCGGTGCATGAGGAAGCGCTGCTATCACTATCTGCTACCTACGTACTGTTTGACCCCCAACTCCCGGACTCATGCTAGATTTTTGGCTATTTAGGGTTTTTTTTTTTCTTCCCACAGTTCAATAACCTTTGGAGCGAGCTAGCCTCAATAGTCTACTATGGAAGCTGCATCAACTTTTTAGTTTTTCAGCTACCATTTTCTCAGCCGGGGTTGGAAAGTTGAGGCTTTTGGATATGGAATTTTTATAATATTGTGAGAGTTTTTTGGGTCTTGTCTGAGCATACTCGTTGTCATGAGTCAAAACAATGTACTACTACTAGTATTTTATGAGTGATGCGTGGTTAATTTATTTAATTTGGTACCTCTGTACTACTATATATATTCAAATTACTGCCAGTACGTAGCAATTTACACAACTCTGAGGTAAATTATATACACTTCATGATCATTTGCAGATAAGCGGAAAAGGAAGATGGACGAACCACCAAAACCACGGGATACCCATACAAAGAGGATGAACCGTCGATCACCAGTTGGAAGGGATGACTAAACACGCTACAATGGCATTGCGGGGGTGCAAAATTCATAGGTTTATTACTTGGGTTGGACTTACAACTCTGCATATTAATTCAAACTTGTTTTAAAGTTCGTTTGTGTCTGTACCATGAACTCTGTAGTGATTTATCTTAATCCGCATACATTACATGGGACGTCAATTCAGAATGGAGGCCCCATGTATTTCAATTATTTTTCAACCAGTCTTTGCTAAAATTTCGAGACTTTTATAACTTTTGAGACATTGTAATCGAGTACCATTTTATCATCAAAACTTAATTTAATGACTGGGGGGTGGACAATTGAGGAAAAGTCAATTGATGTGACAGCGATGCTGATTGCTGAGCTGAGATAAAGGATTTTGATCTTCTGAATCAAGGGGCAGATTAATAGCGAATCCCCAAAATTATGTGGTCCCTAATTATTTATTTCACTGCCAAACAACAAACGGAGAGGAACAATTTGAGATCAAATCATGAACTCACACAATAGTTGAATCGCGTCTAACATGTGTCCGACCGGTCGCTCAAGCTACAGGCTTACAGCCCAATTATTATTTTTAATTTTAAAATATCTTTCCCGTCATGAGGGAATACTGTTAAGGTGTGTTAAGGTGTATTATCTGTCTTACATCGCCACCGTGAAAAGAAGTAACTCAGTATATAAGTTCTAAAGGCCACCCAACTCATTGTCAATTGGTTTTGAGATGAGAGACCAATGTACTTATATACTTTGACATGGAATCAGAGCGTGCTGGGCCTGTGGTGGAGTTATGGGCCAAAGGTAGTATGTGTGGTGATTTTATATTAACCCACTTGAGCGTTGACTCGTAGGCTTTTTGTGGACCTATCCAGCGGTATAATTAACTTTTCTCCCACTTGAGCGTTGACTCGTGTACTTATTGTGAACCGATCCATATACTGCTTTTCTCCTAATTGAGCGTTGACTCGTGGACTTGTTGTGAACCGATCCAGCGGTATAATTGGCTTTCTTGCACTTGAGCGTTGACTCGTGGGCTATTATGTTCTTGTCCTCATCCAAATCTATTGGGCAAAAAGTTCAAAGACCATTGTACTTGAGGGAGCGTTGACTCAAGGGAGCGTTGACTCGTGGGCTATTCTGTTCTTCTCCTCATCCAAGTCCATTGGGCAAAAAGTTCAAAGACCCATTGGACACTTGAGCGTTGACTCGTGGGTTATTTTGTTCTTGTTCTCATCCAAATCTATTGGGCAAAAAATTTAAAGACCCATTGTACTTGAGAGAGTGTTAACTCAAGGGAGTGTTGACTCGTGGGCTATTTTGTTCTTCTCCTCATCCAAGTCAATTGGGCAAAAAGTTCAAAGACCCACTGGACTTTGGGGAGGGTGTTAAGGTATATTTATCGGTCCCACATCGCCACCGCGAAGAGAAGTGACTCAGTATATAAGTTTCAAAGTCCACTCTACTCATTGACAATTGATTTTGAGATGAGAACACAGAGTACTTATATACTTTGACAAATACATCTTTTATTTCTTGTGCTGTTAAAATTACCCTAATTCTGCGATCTCAACGAAGTTTAGATCACCAATTGTCGTTTCTCCATATGTATGCACAAGTCAAGTGTATACTTTTTGCACTTGAGTCAAGTTCGTGATTACCATATGTTGTAGGATTGTGCAATATTTAAGACAATAAGACAATTTTGGCAGAAAAAATGAAACTTCTTCGAGAAAGGTTTTTTTTTTTTTTTGTTGGAACTTCTTCGAGAAAGTTACCACAAAATGAAAGATCAAAATGCCTGATGCATTAAAAAAAAAAAAAAGGAATGAAATTGCTGCATACAATAGTTTTTCTTATGTTATTATCATCATCAGCACCGTAGTTAGAAATCCAAAACCCAACAATAATGGACAAATCGATTTTATACCTAATTGTTATTTCAAAAGGTTGTAAATTCAAACCTCATCACTGCCAAAAGTGTGTAGACTCTTCCCATTTAGAAAAACAAAGAATATCTTGGTTGGATGTGTATATAAATGATGTATTATTATTTATTTCCCCTCTCTTTCTTTATAAGAACCTCTATTGATCAGCAAATACAATGGACTTGCACACTTCTATTGTACGTTTAGAATCTTTAAAGAAAAAGTTGCTCCCAATCTCTAATTAATGGTTGATATATTTAAAAATAAATAAATTAGGTGAACAATGATTATCTCTTTTTTTTTTTTTGGTTCATTCTCTTCTTTAAATGCGATGGTTCATCAGTAACATGAATCAGGTGATTTCGTTAGATCAATCAAGTCTTGATCGATTCATCAATTAAGATTTTAAAAATTATTGTTTTCACCACTAACTATGAAGAACTTTCAATCTCTAAAAATGCCATGACAAGGTAATTCAGAGCTACAATAACTCATGACTAATTACTGTAATTATACCAAGCCAAATTAAATATTATTTCTTACGTTTCGAAATGATTATCTAGTTTGGATTTTTATTTTTAGTTCAAATTTTGGGATGAAATATATATATATATATATATCTTTATATATATTAAAGAAGAATTTTCAATCGGACACAGGTCGCAAAATTAGATAGGCAAATCCACTTGACGAAAAATTAGACACCCAAATCCACATGTCGCAATCACACCCTTCCATCATTTAATGGTAATTTTTTAATGTAAAATTATAAATTTATAAATAAAATTAAATTAACTAAGAAATTACCTCTTAGCGGTTAATTTTATTAGAAAAAAAAGAAAGGTGACAAAAAAAAAGAGAAAACTTAAAAAAGGTTAAAAAAAAAACACGTTGATAACCTATACAACATACATCTTGTGCCCATTAACATATACTTAGCATATAAATAACGCATTAAAAATCCAAAGCATATTGAGAAAAAAAACCATATGGAAAATAGTAATAAATCCAATGATAATTAACTGAAATAAAAAATTAAAAAATCAATTTGATGTAGAAAAATAAACACCGACCGCCATGATGAGAGAAACTAATTCACTGATCAATATTAATTTTTATAATTGTGCGTTAAAATGTAACCAATAAATGATACTATTGATTACGTTTAAAATATATACAAAAAGGTGAAATCTATACATCAAAGAAAAAAAATGATGTAAATACTACATTATAGGAAAAATATAGGATCAAACTTATAAAGAAACATTACAAAAGGTGTATAGAGAGATGAAAAATAAAGATAAGTTTATGAATAGAAATAATGAGAAAATTTCTTGTTTGCCAGAGAGTTTAAAAAATGTGAAACGGTAGAATTATTTAGAGAGATCACAATGAAAATTTAGGAGAATACTTTTAAACGATATAAAAATCATAAATAAACAAAATAAAAAAAGATTAATAATAAGTTACATTAGATGATTTTGAAAATTAAAAATTATTCCAAATGTACTTAAAATAACAGAACATATTGGCATTGAAAATTACACATTTTTAATTTATATAATTAAATATATTTATATGTGTGTTTATGTATATATATATATATATTTACATATATCACTCCGTCAGAAATGTCCTATAATCGTTAAATTATTAAACTCGTATATATCTTGAATAAATCACACAACGTGTGGGACAAATACTAGTATATATAAAAGAAAAGAGGCACAAGGTCACTCGATGATTTGAATTTGGTGTACTTGTAATTCTTTTTTGTTTAATTAGGTGAAATGGTTAATTACATATATATTGCTTCAAAAAAAAATCAAAATTTTGTACATTCTTCCGTTTATATACATCCAATCTAAGCTACTGACAATCAAAATTGAACTGAACTGAAATGACCAAAAATAGAATCTCAATCAACATAAAAAAAAAAAATTAAAAAAAAACTGCATCTCGAGCGAACACAATATTCCTACATCCTCACTATTCCTCATTTTCTTACAATAAGAGGTAATAAATCCACTTCAGCTCCTGCTTAGTACGAAAATGGAAATCGTATCAACTGTCTTACTTCCTTCCTTCGAACACCATTAGATTACGATTTAGTTTGTAATTTTTGTTGCTTTCAATATTATTTAGGCTCATTCACATTGACTCTTCCCTGTAATAAAGTGAAACACGCCCAAGCAATTCCCCCTTAGCATGAAGTTGTTAATAATAAGATATTTGATTATTTTATGCAAACACAAAATTATAAAGACAAAAAATTAAACTCTTGCATCCTAGAAAAATAGTCTACTTTGTTGTATTGTTTTAGTTTAATAAAATATTTTTTTTCCGAAATGAATAGAGTAATATTGTTGTGATTATAAGTTTTTAACTACTCGCTAACATAGACAAGTTTTTAATTATATATGCCGTATCTTTTCGCTGCACATATCGTTTTTCTTAAAGTAAATCTTATCTTATTTCAAAAGGTATAATTAATTATATTACTGGTGTCTGTTCGAAGTGCGGCTCGCAACAAGACAAAAATCGTATCCAAGTTTAATTATAGCTTAAACCATTCAACTTAATTATTTTTCCTTTATTGTGATCGACAAATCTGGTAAAGGAAGACAACCAGCGCGCAAAGCAGCCACAGTTCAAAATACCACCAAATCAAAGCAGGGATCACATATTTTATTCTTACCTATTTACGTCTACAATAAAAAACGAATTCAATCTTCCCGTTAGGTAGAAGATGAACCATATTTTGTGCTAAATCGGTGAAAATAAAAGCTCAATCCCACTTTTGCCCAATCATCATGTCGGAAAAAAGGAAAGCAGTTGCGTGTTATTCTGGGGGGTTTTGCCTGGACTTTTTAGATTGATCATAAATTTTAGAAAGATGAAAACTTCTTTCCGAAAACGACAATAACAGCATCCAGCGAATTACCCTTGATGAGGAAAAATGCGAGTTAAAGGCGTGGTATATGCAATTAGTAGAATCATTACACTTCCAAATCCAGTACTTATAGTAATTTTTCTTCAAAGAATTCATGATTTGATTCATTTCCGTACATATACTTAATTATAGACAATGCCTCCCAAAGTTGCTCAAAAAGCAAACACCCTCTATAAATTAATTGTGGCCGCCCCAAACACCCACACACATAAAATACTATTAATTTGTTTCAATTTGGTCCATGAGATTCTTTTAGGCTTTGTACTTAACTATTCCCTCGTATCCTTCATATAAGGCATTTTGATTTACTCTAGGTTAACTTCGTACATATTTTTAATTGACATAAAAACATTAAAAATGTTTCATAACAATCAGATAATACAACGAGTGTGAAAATATTAAGGTTTTTTCGTCAATTAAAAATACGTACTAAGTGAAATCTATGACAAACCAAAATTTCTTATAATAAGGATTGGAGGAAGTATTATATATCTATATAATTTTTCATTAGGCAAGCATTCAGGGGTATCAGAAGGGTAACAATACATTTTCATTATTTGACTGGAAAATGGTGACAGAAAAATTTAAGTTCAATTGATAATAATATTATTCTGAAGTTTATGGTAAATGCATATTAATTAAACATCGCCATCTATTATTATTTTTTTAAATCACTATTTATAATAAGTTTGCTACCAGCTGATTAAAGTTTTTGCCCACGTGAAAGGTATTACAGTAATGTTTGTCACACAAGGAGAAAAATGTGAAAAACATAAGTCACATTTTCCATCATCCCAAATGCTAGATGAAGCAAATAAAACGGTTTTTTTTAAAAAAATAAAATTATTTATTTGCTTTTCTTAAGCCTGAAATGCTAGCACGCAAATAG